TACCCACCCCATCTCCCTTTTTTTTTTTTTTTTAATTGGGCTTCTAGAGACATTAAATAGCAAAATATGGTTGTAATGAGAAAATGTGTGGTAAAAAAATATGAATTTTGTTAATTTTTTATATAAGGATATAAATTTTATTGGTTTCTAAATGTTTTTTTATTTAAAGATATTAATTTTATATTTTTTATTTAAGAATTAATTATTTTTTAACCATCTAATTAATTTCATAATAAAAATATAAAATTAATATTTTTAAATAAAAGATTAAAAATTTATTGTGTTATTTAAAAATTATTTTATCTTTAAATAAAAAAAAATAAATTCGTATATTTATTTACACATTTTCTTTTATTGTAATTAGTAGTAGTAGTAAACAATTTAGCTTTTTATCCTAACCCTCATTTTATTCTATGGTGTGGTCCATCTTGCAGAACTGAAATGGGTAAGGAAAATTCCTGAAACTGAGTAATAAAAACATGAGTGCTTACAATATAGAAGTCCAAAAAATATTGAGAACATGCTTGGTAATAGAATTTCTCATAATTCAAAAATATCCAAGCTACACATGGCTGACATTCTGGGTTTTCTATTGTGGGGGCTGCCAAAAAATTAGAAAAATCTGTGACAGCAGAATGTGCAGACAGGATTTATCCTAACCAAACAGCCTCCATCCAGGCTCCAGCCCTGCTTTGATATGCCAAACCAAGCCAAAAATGTCAATTAGTGAAAAAACTATTTTTCTGCTGATGGCCTGGAGGATTATTGAGGGAGATATTATCAAAAATGGTTGTTGAATTTTCAAAATATTTTGAACAAACCCTTCACAAGCTGGAATTTGGATATATATCTTACTTGACAGGACCACTGGTTCTGTATCAAAAATAATGAACCATGACCCACACTGGTCTGAACAATCCGAGACCATCCCATATTCAGACATTTGGATCAGCACACAACACATGGTTCTGTCTTTCCTCTCAATCCAACTTCAGATAATTGTCAGGAAAATTGGGGCTATGCTGGCCTAATTCCTCAGCTTCGACCAAAATTTAGTTAAATGTGGTTTAAGATGCTATTTCTAACATTACATGGAATGTTCAATAACTTATGATTATATGATTGTCACAAATGTACAGAAACCACATTTTTTACACTCAATATGTATTTACATATAAAAGTTATTCGTATGGTTACATGTCAAGAATCAGCTGCATCTCAGCTAGAATTGGTAGCATTTGAATGGCTCTAGCTGCCTACACAGGTGGTATCTTGGGAGTCGATGACATTGTAGTACAGTGAAGATAACTTGCCATCAAAGTCAGAGACTAGTTTATGAGGATGTAATCCACAGTAACGTTTCTGTAGGCGATCAATGCAAATATCGATTACTTTCTTGAACATGGAGTCTTCTTGGATGCGAGGTTGCTCTAAAAACTCAACTAATGGCATCCACTACATAATGACCAGTTTAAAGATTGTTAAAATGGAAAAGTTTTGTCCCTAAACACTGTTAAAGAAGAAAATGTTTAGATGAGGTACTAACCTTGGCAGCTTGAATTTCATGATCATCAACCATAATCTGATTTGATAGAGGATTCAGCATACAGACGAAGAACAAATCTGACTTTTCAAAGGCCATGTTGTGCACGTGCCTGGAATTGGAGTTAAGAGACACATATCAGGAGTCTGATACTGATATATCAGAAAATTATATTTTCTCTTGGTTTAAAACATACCTGAATGCAACAACCTCAACAAACTTGGTATCGATCTGCAATACAAAATAAGTGCATCTAGTATTAGTACAATCACTAACTTAGCTAATCAAACTGTTGTGCGAGAGATAAGTGCAAAGTTCTTACCCCAGTTTCCTCCTTGACTTCTCTAACGGCTCCTGTGAAAATCTCCTCAGACTGACATACCAAACAAAATTATGAATTCTAAGTTGTCTTGTTTTATTTTGAGCATCCAAAACATTGAGGTCAAAATGAGAAAGAAAAAACATACTGTACCTCAAGAATGTAACCAGTTGGTATTTTCCAAAGACCAACAGATGCTGGAGCACAATATTTCTCTTGCACTACAAGAACCTGCAATAGGTCATTGTGAATTTTAGGAATGCAGTAATCAGTGACAATCACGACAACATTACATTATATCAGATGATGGAATTTGGTTCAGTTTAATTTTGACAGAAACTTTTTAAGCCTTACCTCATTGTTGTCATTGATGACAAATCCCCCTACTCCTACTTGATGAGAAGCATTAGCAGGAAGCATGCAAGGTCCTTCAGGAAGCCAGTAAGTTAACATCACATAACCTCGCTCTGCATGGTGATATTCAAATCCTTCCTGAATCAATAGAAATAATTTGGTGAACTCTTTAAGTTCTCCTCTACTTCTATTTGACACAACAAAGGAGTGAACCAGTCAAAATATGTGTGCTTTTGGTGTCTCATCTTGAAGATACCTTTACAGCAACTGGAACAAGATCTGACCTTTCCGCAGGCAACTTAAGCCAAACTCCCTTCTTTTCCTGCAGTTTGATGACATAAGTTGGTCATGTCCTAAAGTTTCTTCTTAATTTCAACATAAACATAGGATATTAGGGTTCTACTTTTATCCTATTGAACCAAATAATTTCTTGTTAGCCAATAATTTCTCAAGCCATTCCACAACAACCAGATCAATAAATTCTTCCAATAGACAAACATATGAAACTTTAGCATACCTAAAAGGATGGAGAATAAGGCTTAATTCTAGACAAAGAAAGTACCTTGGCTTTCCAATGAGAAAGAGAGGATCTAAGCACTGAAGCAAATGCATTTGGATTAGCTGGCAATCTCCTTGGATCAACTATAACTCCACCATACTCATCATCAAAGGCATGAAGTACCCCCATTTTCCTCGAGAACAAATTTGAATCCTTCATATTAATCTGAAATATGTAATTTCCAGCTGCAAGTTTTGCTTCATCAATTGAACAAACAGCTCTCTTTGCTGCAAAAGTATTACTTGAAGTACCAGAATAAGAAGCCTTTGGGATTGAAAAAAGCCCTGAAATACAAATTTTTGGGTTGAATCAGAACTTCTCGAACATATATGGTCTGTTTGGTTGCCAAGAAAAATGGAGGAAAATTGGGTATCTGACAACTGAATATCAACATTAAACTTATTACCTCTGCAAGAACAGAACTTTGGCCTGATTTTAACACCAACTGTTTGCTTGAGGCTGGAAAAACTGCTCAAACATGTTCTTCCCATGTGGGCAATGTCAGACATAGAAATAGATTTGACATCAAAAAAGCTGCACTCCATTGATTTCAGCCAGAATCTAAAACCCAACTACCTTGACTAGTGTTGACAACTGCTGAACATATATAAACATAAGAAATTATAAAAATAAAAAATAAAAAAAAATCTTGATTCCGGTTAACAAGGAAGAATCCTTGGATTCGTCGTTCGCCAGATTATTGGCCTGGAAGTTGCATGAGAGACTGAAACACTATGACAATGCAATTGGGGTCACAAAAACAACTTGAAAAATTAGATTCTTGGGAAGAACTTATACAGGAGAGGGACACTAAATATCATGATTAACCCCCACATCTCATCCACCAAAACAAAATTAAATTAGTCTGTTATGTTGCTCAACATGTGGTGGGAGATGGGTATTGCGTGATGCGACAAAAAGATGGGGAAAAAAAATCTCAATTTCACACACAAATGTTGAAAGCGAGGGAAGTAACTAATTCTTAAATATGTTTGGCTTAAAATTCTAGCACGAATCCCCATACCGCACTTTCCCATTATTTAAAAGAAATCAAACACTTTATACTCGTATCAATATGTTATGTGTAAACAATATTTTTGGTATGTAGTATCATTTTCTAAAATATAAAAAGAAATTTTTTATGCCATGTTATTTTTGAAATAAAATATAAGTTAAAAATGTATTTATTAAATTTTTATTATTAATTTTTTGAAAAAA